CAGAGATAGGAATTTTTCAAATATTGTTTCTTTAAAACTAAAATTGCGTTTCACAAAGAGTACATGAAAGGTGGATTGCTTTCTCTGAATACACGATAAATAAGGTAGATGTTTTTATTGAACAATACTAGAATTTCATTCGTCGCATTCTGATATATTTAGATGCATGTATACATGTAGTGTTGTTGTCACAGGAGATGCCTGCCGCCTTTAATACCAAAGTCATTTTGTCTCATTTCAAAGAATCATGGAGCACTTAGCACGTTTCTTAGAGAAAAGAGGCGTTAAGACTTAATCATTCCATCGCTTTGATTAGTTTAAATGGTCCCCACCTCCAGGACTCTTTTCCCCTATTCACCGGCCGTGTCACTGATTGTTCAACTGGTAAGAAATTACTTGCTTGACATAAACGGATTTCAAAAAGTCATATAATGCAACAACAGAGTTTTGTCCTTTTCCGTTCATCGATTTTTTTTCAGAAGTATACTTTGACCTGATTGTCTCTGTGGAGATAAACTAGGCTTTGAGACTTAAGAGCTCTTCCCAACCGAGATATTGACATACAACAAGTGATGTGTCTTTGTAAATGTGCCCGGAGGAAAGGGGAGGTGGGGGGGGGGGGGGGCGNCAGAGTTTCTGTTATCCAAAGGATTTATTTCTTGTGCAAAAATGTCGTTTTAATTTCGAAAGATTTAAAATAGTAATCACATGTACAAAAGGCTAATTTCACAAAAGAAAAAAGTTTAAATGCGACGAAGTTTGAGGCAGTTGGTTGCTTAATTTAACTGGCATATAGCCTGTTAATCCATGGGTAAAATCTACACTTTGCTTCCTATTCTTTTATTTTTTCCATATTTCAAATTTAAATAAAAATGTTGCTTCTTATAGTAGAACAGTGCACACAAGACATGGATAGTGCAATTTAGACGATGCAACAACAAAAAGGTTGCTTTTTTGTCCACAATTATCTCATTCGCACGCTACATATCAATAAGAAACGGGCGTGTTCACTTTAACGTGCTGGAGCGAAAAGGAACATTTTCCTGTGATACATTAGTGATACAAAGGTCAATTTGGGTGTGTTTCCTCTTGGCAGCACGGAAACATGTTGCTCAACACGATTCGGTTGAATGTTATCCTTGTTTCCATGCGTGCTGGTAGAATGCCTGTTGAAATGCTTGGATGACTGAGGTTTGCCAACGGCACGGCAATTACACGAAGTTCAAGGCTATGAAGCTCCGATGGAATTTATAATTGTTACGGGAAGATTGGATTTGACTGAAACGGGAATTCCAAAAGGGACTGTTGACGAAGATTAAAATCACATGCCGTAATGCAGCACTCACTATTTATGTCATGTTAATGGAAGGACGTAATTAGATAAGCAAAGATCAATAGTAAATGCACCCCTGTGGTTTCACATGCTATCGATTACATACATTTTAATTAAGTCGAATGCCAAGATTACACGTTTTAAGTAACGGCAAGTGAATGCAGTTGGTGAACCGGTGAACGTTATGACACATCAAGGCGTAACGCTGCTATTAATAAGCTGTGTGTCTAATTCAGCCAGACTGGTGCTGCGGAATGCAGTCTGGATTACAGTGTAGCAGCCTTCAATGCCAAATATAATGTACTTACACCCCGTATATCTCTTGACTTGAATTATGCTTTTTCTCGACCAAATCCTATGGAATAGATAATGTTCTGTAATGTCAACTGAAATTAGTATTTACATTGGCGAACTACCCGCACGAAAATGCAGTAGTATCGAAGTAGCAAAGAAGCATTAACGCAGTAGTGGTGTGGAGCATATTTGCAGTAGAAATGCAGCATAGCCTACTGCAATTCTACTTCAAAAATTACATAGGGTCGTACAGAGGAGGAGCATTAATGCAGTAGATTTGCAGCATGATAGAAGCATGTTTCAAATATGCTAATTAGCTCCCCAGTCGAAGCAGATTTGAAGCATGTTTGCAGTAGAATTGCAGTAGTCTACTGCGCTGGAGTATCTACTGCGTTTTCTTGCGGGTAGAATATTCACGTACACGTCAAACGTATTGCCGGTTGGCGGAGTGTCGGTGTTGCTCTGGTGCCCAGTCCGTTGTTAAGAAGTACAAATGTTATACAATGGCGATGTGTATGAGGCACGTCTCTTTCTCTTTTGTTGTTCTAGAAAAGTTGTTGGGGTTTTTGATGTACAGACATACTGATCGATTCGAGACTAAAATGTCTATATACTGAGGTTGCTGCACCTGCTACATGCAACAATCTGAGCCCACTAGTTATAATATAATCTACACTGTAAATTTGTAATATTTTAGTGCAACATTCTATTCCAATTAATATGGATGCTCCTTTTTATATACCAGTTGTACATGAAACTGCTGTACTATCTGCTTCAATATGGGCTACTTTTAAAATTCGTCAGACTAATAAGCAGCTATTAATAAATGTCTTATCAAAGTATGTTAGTGAGAGATTAAATAACTCAAGTAAAGTTAAGGTAAACAGTTTTGAAAGCTGCAATGATGTGCACAGTGGGGGAAGGGAGCGATGCCATTTTGAATCAAATATCTACAGCGGCATGAGAACATGAAACATAGTGATATGAAAATAAACAGGGTTAGGTCCGTTTTGTCGTTGGTTTGTATCGCATGGCATGATGTGTATTATGTTAAAAGCGACTGATCTACGCTATTTGTAAAGTACATACAACGGAAATAAAATTAAAATAAAACAAACAAGAACGGGTTCGAAATGGGGCACATGGCAAATACCTGCAAACAATTACAAATTGTATGGTGAGGGAAGCAGGAGAATAAAATTTTGAAAAACAAAAGTAGCAGTTACATGTAATACACGAGTTGGGATGCTTTGTCCTTAAGGTTTTGAAAAGATGTGGTTGACACTGAAACATAGGTAATTGAAAATGTCTTCAAAATCTTTTTAAATAAGGTTTTCTGTGCCAACATACATTTTATAGTATCTCCCTCTCCCTCTCTCTTTCTCTCTCTGCGTGTGACTGTGAGACATAATCTGCAGTGTTTGAAATGCAAAGTTCAAAGGTAGTGATCATTAAAAACTGTGATTACAGAGATTAAAAGGCATTCCTTATCAAACCGCGCTTCTTTGAATTAGGACAATTGTTTTGGCATCAATGTGTGTTGTAATTTACCATGGTTCTTCTAAATTTCGATGTGAAAAGAAGCACAAAATATTTCAAAATTAGCACGTGTGGCGACTACCTCAGTCAAAGACCACTTATAGGTATTGGAAACAGGAAAGACCCCAACGACGTTCCGGAACTCACCAGTGATCCCTATTTACAACTCGGAGAACTTTTTATAGACACTTTAAGTCATTATTTCCATTAAGTGACATGAAGTTCTTGTAGTTTTTGTACATCACCAATAATGCATGTATGTATATATCTTAATATATGGTATGTTACTTAAGACTTATCTAACCGTCCTCTTGGAAACCTTTGTAGGTCATATGATATGAACAGAGATAGGAATTTTTTCAAATATTGTTTCTTTAAAACTAAAATTGCGTTTCACAAAGAGTACATGAAACTTAGAATGATTGTTTTTTCTGAATACACGATTAAATGAGGTAGTTATTTTTGTTCAACAATACTAGATTTTCATTCGTCGCACCCTGATATATTTTTATACATGCAAATATGTAGTGTTGTTGTCACAGGAGATGCCTGCCGCCTTTAATACCGAAGTCATTTTGTCTCATTTCAAAGAATCATGGAGCACTTAGCACGTTTCTTAGAGAAAAGAGGCGTTGAGACTTAATCATTCCACCGCTTTGATTAGTTAAAATGGTCCCCACCTCCAGAACTCTTTTCCTCTATTCACCGGCCGTGTCACTGATTGTTCAACTGGTAAGAAATTACTTGCTTGACATAAACGGATTTCAATAAGTCATATAATGCAACAACAGAGTTTTGTCCTTTTCCGTTCATCGATTTTTTTTCAGAAGTATACTTTGACCTGATTGTCTCTGTGGAGATAAACTAGGCTTAGAGACTTAAGAGCTCTTCCCAACCGAGATATTGACATACAACAAGTGATGTGTCTTTGTAAATGTGCCCGGAGGAAAGGGGAGGTGGGGGGGGGGGNGCTTACAGTAATGTCTAGAATACATATGTTGCATTTGGCTTTTGTAATGGCTTTGATTTCACCATTTCACTGGGAACGTAAGGATATCAACCACAAATTGGCTAACTGTCTCTACAAGAAAAGCTTTCTAGGTGGTTCCTTTCCATGCAATCTGCTTTGCCATTGTTTTCTGATGCTGTATGCACACCGCAACTCATTTTGTAGCGTGGTGAATGGCTTTATTGACTTTGTGTCAAATATAGTATAGATGATATTTTCTGCATGTTGGCCACACCTGTGTAAATAGCAGGTAACACAGCGTGGCTTTTTGACATTTTTAAACAAAGAGACAGATTACACGACCGACATTTCTGAAGACACTCCTCGTGTACATATCATAACCTATTAAAAATGTCAACTAGTGAGGCGTCCTGATAGTGATACGGTACTTGAAAAATAAACAAGCTCTTAACGTGATGCTCGGATTGTTAGATAATAAAACGGCAATAATTATCAAAGTCCCTTCGATTGCACCTGTAATTCTCAGCGACATAAAACCAGTAATTAATTTCCATTTGCGATGACTTATTCAATACTGCACGCACGCTAACATCCGCCCTGTATTGTAGCCGGTTCAGTCGTACCTGAGCTTTTACATTCATTGATAATAACTGTATTTAAAAGCCTTCGTTTACACTGCAACAACCAGAACAACGATAATACCGAAGCAGCAATATGCGATCTATTGAAGATTTAAACTTCCCAAGTCCATCATTATAACGCTCCCATTCTCATGGTTAAATGGCGGTGTGGGTAACAGCCAACATGGACGGAAATGAGCAGAAGCGGCATCGATTCCAGTGTCCCCTGAGGCTAACACACAATAGACGCTGAGATTAAGGATTAATGTGTAATTAGATGATGGTTGCCTTCAGTTGTTCAAGGACATAGTCCCTAGAAACTCAGGTATGTGGTATGAGGAAGCTGCAGGCAATTAAAGCGTGCGTTCGTCTTGCAAAGCACAGCGGAAGGATTGTGTTTTAACATCATGAGGCTGGGTCATATATAATACTACCGTGCAAGATAGCTGTGACACACCGTGTCGCATCTTCTTAACCATGTGTGTGCTCAGTTCATTGGTGAGCACTAACAGTTTTCCATAAGACAGTAAAGTACTTTCTGGAGTTGGCAGAGTCTGCTGTACTTTCGCCTAAAGTGAAGATTGCGTGGTAACTTGGCTTTTTATTTGGAATGACTCTCAAGATAGCAACTCAGAAGGTGAGGTAATTTCTATTGAAACTGACGACAAGAATCTGTTTGCACTTCATGGCAGCAGTGCTGTGTGTATATAGTCAAACGACGTCCCGATGGAGAGCAGGTAACAGCAGATAAGGTACGTATCTAAGCTCTCGGTCGGTTTTTCTCGTCAATTAATAACTTTTTGCCTGTCGAACGGATTTGACTTTTAAGTGTCATCCCCATTGTAAGGCAAGATGTCGCAGATTAAGTATATCAATTATTATTGCATTTTGAGTTTTCATAATATATTTTCTAGTATTCTATAACTTTCGTGTCCACCCAGATTATCTGAAAGCATCTGTTGCCATGATAACAGACACGGAATTCGGAATTAAATCACGGCTAATCGAAAGTTATGGGTAGTTTACGATAAATTGCAATTCGCATGTTTACCGTTCGCATAGGCCTGGTTATAGCACGGGCGCTATATTAACTCAAACAACATGTTTGGATGTAAATACACGGTTGATTAATTTGATCTTTACCGGTATAGGGCATGGATATTTACAAGAAGGAACTCCAATATCTGTGTAATGCAAAGCACGAAGACCTTACATGAACCCCTTTCAACGCCACCTCCTATACTCGACCTGCGAGCATAACGACTTGACACCTGGTGACGTCACAGCAGGGTTGCGGTCAATTATTCCAGCACCTGTCTTAAAAATTAATTTTACCAAGGAAGCCGCAATCGATGTTTACGGTGGATTTTCATTTGCGCGACGTTGCAAGTGAAGTGGACCTCCGGAAAGTCTATTATCGGCCGTCTACGGGATTTAAAGGAATCTCCTTCAACAAGCAAGGTAAACTGTTTTCCGACAAAGGATTTTAAATAGCTGTCAGGTCCCACCTGCAGCGGAACCAACCAGCTTTTGACAAACAGGCAACTCTTCGCCTGTAAGATTGCATTTATGTGTACCTTTGCATCCGCATTGTGCAGCATAAATGTCGAAGTTTATGAATACAATGTGATGTGATATACAGTGATGAAGGCAATGATTGGCTGTAGTGAATATGTCGTTTAGGGTTATTCTGTAGGCTGTGTTCACGTAGACTGCTGCTAGACACACTCGTTGCCTGGACAAACTCTGGTATGGTATAAAGAACCTATTGCAGCCTGTCATATATCTTTTTGAAGTGGAGGCTAGCAGAGACAGTGGCCATGATTTTAACGTGTTGCACATTTTCAGAAGAAATACACACCTGGGGAGCGACTGTGGCGCACTTTACCTCTTATATGTGATTTATATGACTTTATAAGATATATTTGGCTTGATTGAAAGGGAACGATTGGTGCAGCGAAACTTTACCCATAACAAAGGGGAAACAGATGAATTATGACTAATACTAATCTTTAATAATGTGGGGATTGCGCTTGAAAAACAAGAGCTACCGTGATAGACCAAAGGAAACATTAGCGTCTTGGGGACTGTGATTTAAAGACATTGCGACGCGGTCCGTTGCATTTTATTGATTCGTTAAAGAGATTCTACGAGCCTATCCAATGGAAGAGGACCAGGCACCAAAGTTGGGCTCCCTTAATCTGAAGGGAACGATGGCAGCAATAATGATACCTCATGACGACGAGATAGAGGTCCTCTCTTACAACTCCATCGACGACAAAAACGCTAAACCGTACGACGCCGAAGTGAAAGTGTACATCAACGTCAAAGGAAGATACTCGCGGTACCATGGCGACGACGTAGTGCCGCTTCCGATTCACGCGTCAATGGAAGTGGACCCTGGCGACGAGAATCAGAGGAAGATCGTTAGCCGCGCTATTGTGATTGTGACTGTTACACTGTTGATAATGAGCTTTGCCTTGGTGGCAGTAATGCTTCGGCTATCGGATCACATTGACAAGCTAGGTAAGTGACTGTGAGGGGCCTTCTTGAAACACGTCCGCCTTTCCTGCAATTTCTATTCTTAGCGCAGCTCGAAGTAATAACAAAACCCCAGACAAAAGCACATCGATAATCTCGGTGTTACAGGTGCAGGTTTCGTAACGTGATACAATGTATCTGTTTTTTAACTTAGCCTCAGGACATGGCTCAATTTCCTAATAAGAGGTATATCATTTGTTCCAGTCATCAATACGTTTCATAAGCCATGATTCGATTTGTCCTTTAATTTCACCTTACCTGTCCGCGAGCTGCTGTGACCGTAAACAAGTCAGTGTGAGCAATAACGTGAAAGAGATTACTTCCAGAATTTTGATAAATTAACCGTTTGGATGTAAGTGCGATTTTATTATTGGCAGAGCCAGGAAAGTGGGGACTTTAAGAACACTTCTTATTTAATTCCACGACAAGTTTCTACGAGAACTAGTAATCAAATGGCTTAAATTGGTGAGTGTATGCGCGCGTGTGCGTGTGTGTGTGCGCTCGTGTGTGTGTAAGGTGTGTCCGATGAACCGTAGCCGTGCATGAGTGTGTTGCGTGTTAGTGGGTTACCTGCCATTTAGTGATATGACGACCCAAATTCTATTCATACATATGGAATACCATTCTAACTGATGGATGTAAAAATGTTCAACCGTTTTATAAACTCATAACCTCTGAGAGAAGGCGAAAATATCGCCAAGTAACGAAAAGAGATACATATTGGTTTTTGTCCTTTGAAAATGTCATCTTTAATAAACACATTTCGCCTTACTGATGACTTGCAACATGCGTGGGATTTCTATGACACGCCTAATTGCTGAAGGTCATTGTTCGCGTTTTCGTCTTGATAGAACTTTTTTTCTCGCTCAGTTATCCTAGCAGTGTCATCATCCCCGTAGGCAGCGGTTCGAAAGAACCGCATTTTGGTGGCGAAAACTCCGCCCTAAATTATCTAATACAGATCCCAAGCAATTTCTCAAGTTATGTCAATTATAGGGTTTAAAAAGGTGCATGTTTAAAAAAAAAAAAAAAAAAAAAAAAAAAACATTTGACATTGCTGGCTACGGGCTTGGCAACGTTAGCAAAGGTATATCCAAAGGATCCAAGGAACACTCACCCTTTCGGGCAGCCCCCAAGCCTTACAAAAAGGAAGAAATTGAATTAATGATTGACTTTATTACAGGGCATTGAGGTCTCACATACATAAAAACTTAGGAAGACATATGAAAGTCAACGTTGCCCTATAAATACTCGTGCATTGGCGCACTCGAGGTATCATATTAATACATGGCAAAATACCATAAATTGCACCAAGAATATATAAAAGAATTAACTTACAGAACAAACGCGAAGAACAAAAATACCCCTTCCCCAAACTAAGGACATTATATATTGCTTGAAGTTTGGCCATTTTATACTACATTCGTTGCAGTTGATATACATGTATATATAATAGTTGATATTAACTAGAAGTTTCTTTGGCATACTTTGTATGTGTTTATTTTTTTCTCATCGTTTTTTTTGTCATATTGTGCCTTTTGAATTGGCTGGGCTAACACGCCTCTGGGGATAATCTTTATCAAATGTAATCACATCATGTAACAATAGGATTCGATCTAAATCTGATGATGCATTCTGTACATTGTACATGTAACAAATGATTTGCAGGATAACCATAATAATCTGGTGATAAGAAGTGGGCGATTCTGGTAAATTTTGCTGGGGGCCTTACACCCATTACAACACTTTATCCAAAAGTAACCTGCTTTTTTTGAGAACGAAGAGATGGAAATTTTGCGGTTAAAGCTGTTTCCTTTGTAGGCGCTCTTTTTGCTGAGTTCTACGAAAATAACACTATGTTCTTCTTGAAATCAGTACCCAAGGTTAAATCGTCTTAGGCAATGTCTAAATCAAGATTGGCAAGACATTCATAATCGTGACGCTTAACAACGTTTAAATCTTATTTTCTTTTCCTGAGCTAGGTAATACGTACCGGTGGTCTATTTCAGTCATCATCAGGACCTAAGCAATCGATTCTGCTATATTATAAGAGAGAATTTACCAATGTGTGTTTTAGGGACGAAGATTTTAACAGGACTGCAGCCAAGCGAAAGGTGAAAATTATTACTTGCATTTTCACTTCATAAAACAATTTAATGGCAATTTAAGGACAATTTAAGGACAGTAATCTCATTCTTAAAACGATAAATGAAAAAGAGAATGCATAAAACGTTTTACATGCCTTTGAGACTTTCGAGAAGATAAGGAAATATTTAGATATGTTTGCGCCATAAGTCCATTGATTGACCAGTTAACATACAGGAACGTACATGTTTTATGCGGCAAGGCGCGGACAAAGTTAACAGCTTAAAGAAGAATGTTATTTTCTGCTTATTTATACACATAGCACAGGATACTTAGACAATCCAAAAATACTAGGCACTTTCTCGTTGCATATAGCAAATAAGTTTACCCCTCAGGGAGCATGCATCCTAGTATACCATGTGGCGGCTGCAAAGGTTCTCTATCTTTATTGTAATGGCAATGTTCACAGTCACGCAATGTCTTCATTTTTCCAGAAACCATGCCATATTAAGCTGAGACACTGGGAATTGATGCCATAACAACGGGAATGTTTTTTCTTTGGTGTTGTTGCGGTTCTAATGGTAGATACAGGTGGTAGAGTGGCTTCCACGTGCCTTCGGTGGCACACCCTTCTCTCACCCCTCTCTTCCCAAATACTATAACAAGATCACCGTGTCCAAACCATGCAATTCTTCCACCCCTGTGACCATATGGTGCGGTCAAATTATTGCCCCTGGTTTAAAAATCATGTTAGATTTGCCAATGGAAACGAGACGTATTTTTTTCTCCTTTAGCAAACTTCTGAATTCTCCTGCACCTTTCGCGTGTGTATGTATCGTCCCGTACATAAGGCATAACTTTAGGTAATTGATTGAAGTAAGGCATATGGCTGCAGCATGGTTTTGTACACATGAAGTAAACAATATGATACCACATATTATACTCGTCGTCTAAATTACTCTTGCTGCGTGACGTGAATGGATTTCACGCCATTCTGTGGTTGAGATAACACAATTGGATTAATTTCGGGAACTTGTACTCTGAATGATTATATCTGTGCATGCGACAGATTTCCTTTACCAATCCTACAGGGATAGGGTTGTTGTTTGTAGGAAATAGTTGAAAATACGTTAGGTCGTTGTCGTCTGAAGTGCACTCGATGCGTGAGAAAATAACACAGATTATTGAAAGCTCAGATAAGTATTGGCAGCAGTATTGCTTTGCCATTCTCAAGTGCATATTTATTAGTTTGTAATCACTTCGAGACAGATGAGGCAATAGGGTACAGAAATCACTTGGTCTGTTAGTATTTTTTTTCTTTTTGCGTGGACACACACCGAATGCGACAATGCGAAACTGTATATAAGTATATTTCCCATCACTATTCCTACTCTCTCTCTCTCTCTCTGTGTGTGTGTGTGTGTGTGTGCTTGCGCGCGCGTCTCTCTCTGCATCTCTCTCTCACGCAAACAAAGAAACGCAAACATTCAAATATGCACACCGACTCCCGCAAGCTCACACAAACACGCAGGCGCTTCCCGCTTAGGTAGAAATAAGGATCCGCCGAGAGTAAAAACACGATGATCGACCGTTTGACTGTTGTCTTGAACTCTGCTTAAGTCAATTTGAAGCTAACGTGTGCCGTAACATTTAACACACTTGATTTAAAGAGTGCTGCCTAGGTGCGTGAAGCGACGTGATAAGGCTGGGAGTTGATTTAAGCTGACTGAAATGGAAGAAATCGGTGCCAGACAAAACACCATCCCGCTTCAATTATAGCGAAACGGATTTCGTTTGTTTACTATGCACAGACTACGGATGTTGAGTATTTTGGTGAAGTTTACACTTTTTTATTAAAATAACACGGGAATCGCTGAGTTACGTGGTTGCATTGATTTATCATTGAAAACTCACAGCCCAATAGGAAGTTCGGAAACTTATGAAACGTGCCGCATGCGATTCATTACTAATGACTTAATATACAGGACAATCCTATTATTTCTTGAGCGACAAAATTAAATTGGGTTCTTAATTTGATACGTGATAAGGTGTTATCTTACGCAGCAACGCTTCTCAGGTTCCTTGTTTTGAAACTGTTTCATTTCAATTAAAGTCCTTAGTCGTTTAAATCAATGCCTCTCCCTTTCCTCAGTATTTAGACAGCCTTATCTGTAAAACTTATATTTCTTTTGATACTAACCCTTGGGTCAATGTAAATATATGGAGGACATGCTTATCGAAGGTATTTTTGGGATTTGAGCGCCAAATCTAATTTTCCTTGAGAAAAGAGCATGATCTCTTACTCGGGAAGCATCAACGGATCCGTCCTTATACTTGGATTCGATTTTCTACATTACAAATTAGACAACTTTATCCTAATCGGACTGCGATGTCTTCTTGACAGTTCGATAAGACTCCGGGTACTTTTATTTCAGGTGCTTTAAACTTTAAATTGAGAAAGAGATGTGACTTTGCAAGATGTTTTGACAAAAATAGGATGTAGTGCCATTTCCAAATGCGTTTAGTAAATATTTAAGATTGTTCACGTAACTATGGTAACATATGCAACAGTGATACAATCATATATGAGAATTATCAAACACAAGCCGAAATATTTTCGTGCCGTTAGCTTACGGCCTACCTGGTCGTATGATAATTAGCATGTATGATCTAACTACCAAGCTAATGACCATTTTGTTAACAGTGATACAACTTTGAGGTCAGGATCTACCGTAAAACTCACAAATGCATTTTTCCGGTTCCATTAGTCTCCAAAATATGTCATACACTGTATTGTCGGAGACATGTATAGACTTTATTTATAGAGTCGGGACCATGCGGGACCCATCACTGCATCACGCCTGGGGATATCTATAAAATAGATTTTGTACGGTTATTGA